AAGTAATTATACTTTTTGCATAAACAAGAAAATTTCACAATTTTTTTTTTGTTTGGTCAAATGAAAAATTGATGAATGCTTATCGACTGAGATTCCCAATTTCGACTTCGCCATTCACAATTCTTGGAAACGAAAAGAAGTAAAGATCCTTGGGAACTTGCATAGTTATTATAATCTTAAGGCTTATTTTTTTTGTTGGAAACTTCGAAAATTAAGTATGAATTTTCTATAAATTTATTAAGAAAGACTTGTCTAGTTTAAAGTCGAAACTTTGAAAAATAGTTTAGTTTTTGCATTTCAAAAACTTGAAAAATTGTATAATTGGCTAATTGTATAAATTATTAAGTAAATATAGTATTTTATAATTTTAGACGTTTGGTATGCATTTTTTTAATTATTAAATGATTTTTAGAAGGATTAAAAATTTAAAATAATATAAAAAATAAGAAAATATTTTTTGACACCTAGGTCTCGAAAATATAAAGATTGGTCTTCACGTCTAGTCACGATTTATGCCTTTTAGAACGCTCATATTAACTCATTGATCGCATCAGGGCTTTGTATGTTGGGTGATGATTACCCATTAAGAAAGTAGCACTGTTAATTAACTCATTGATCACATCATGGCCGTTGGGTGCACCTTTTGTATGTTGGCTGATGCTTACCCATTAAGAAAGCAGTGTTGTTAAGAAAACTTAGTTTACATTGATTAAGTTGTTAAACATTTGAGTTTAGGCTATCCATTTGTCTTATAGTGGCCCATTATATTGATGGTGTTCAAGTACTTTAATAAATCAGATTTGATCTTGATAGATCATAGAAGCTTTTTTCTTTTTAGGTAATCCATGTTTTTCACTATATAATGAAGAATTTAAAGAATAATTTAGTGAACACAGCTAGAGATTCATCTTTAGTCTAGGGAAATCAACGACTCGAGCTAAAACTCGAGGCTCGGGCTAGATTTCGAGTAAAAATGATTCGGACTTTTTTTGGGCCAAGCAGAGTTGAGCTTTTGCTCGACCAAAAAATCTAGGCTCAAGTCCAACTTACAATTTTACAATTTTTTTAACACAGGTAGCTAAGTAGCTGCCTAAACTAGCTTTTATTTTTCTTTTAAGGCTGGCTCGTCACAGGCCAAAAATGGCTCGTGCCACTAGCCGGGTACGTGTGGCTCGTCAAGCTACACGGGCTAACGCCACACAGGCTAACGTCCCAAAATGGGGCTAGGCCAGATCCTTAGCTCGGTTCTACCGCCCTTGAGCAGTCATGTTCTAACTCTTCCTGAGCTTAGCCGCGGGACGTCCGAGTCGACGAGTCAAATTGACACTCCTACCTTACTGTACATGTTCTGATTTTTTTCTTGACCAACAATTCTTTTTTTCTTTCTCTGTGTTTTTATATTTTCTTAGCAAGAATTAATAAAAGAAAAATTTTGGGTCCCGAAAAAGGAAATGATTCTTGATTGAATAATACTAGTTATCATTATAATGATGAAATATCGGTGATGTGTCAATTTAGGTGGAATAATGAGATAAGACAATTACATTTTCATGAGAGAAAGGAAGGTTGAACTGTTTTATCTCATTATCCCATCTAAGTTACCACATTTGATGAATAATTATTATAATGATAAAATAACATTTTTCTTCTTGCTTGCTCACTTATTTGTGTGGCATTTCTAAAGTTTTTAGATTTGTAAGATTTTGCAGTAATTCTGTCTTAACAAGGACAGGAGTTGCAGTTCATAATCTAGGAAAAATAATGGATCAACACATGGAAGAAACTAAGATGAGTATCTCCCCTTTCTTGACCTAACTTTGTAAACACGCGATTGTGATAATTGAGGGTCAAGTAAAGGTTAGAAAAATGATAGGGATACACACGATCACTTGAACAAGTGTAGAGAGAGAGAGAATTTACTAGGCCATATCTACCAGGACTAGCCAGTTTTGTAAGGTGGTTGGTAGAGCCTAGTGGGCCTCTATGTCCATGTCGCATTAGATTGGAACTAAGAAAATTTCTAGGTTAAGCTTAAAAGTAACATAATCTACTTGGAGTTAGATAATTTACTATTTTGTTACAAGTAGAATAAATTACTTATTAGAACAGTAAAGTTTATATGAATCTCTCCCAAGCTCAAGAAACCAATTTTTTGGAGGTTGCACGGAGTTGTCACCATCTCGTAACCAAATCCTGTTTGATGTGCGGGAATTTCGAAAAATCTTGAATCCAAGCTCCGTAACACCATCAAACGAACTCCAACTCAAGACTTGCTCAACTTACAACTTGCACTCTTTGGTTGCCTTCCTTACCCACTCCGATTGCCCTTTACTATCCCATAAAGGATGCTAGAGGTGGTGGTGACTACAATCTAGAGGAAAAGATGAAGCAACAATGGTTGAATCTCTCAAAACTCAACCCAAAAACATGTTGCCCTCTTTACTGCTTTCTCCATTGTACCCACACACACTCGACACGACCGAAAAGAAAAGGCGATGTTTATAGCATTAGGTTACTTCCAATATTGAGCAATAACTCACAAATGGGCCAACACAAAAACAAGACAAATAGGCTACCAATAAATCAAAGCCTAAACCAACTAATAGGCCAAACTAATCAAAACCAAACACTATCCAAAACTGGGCCATCCTCAAAGTGTATTGGTTGTTTCCGGGTCAAACCAAGCACTAAGGTGCGATAAATTATCGAAAATCTGTTTTAAATCATCGTCCAGATTTATTGAGTATAAAAAACTCAGTAAATCTGCACTTTGATGCCCAATCAACTTGCAAACAAACAAAACACAGTTTATACTTACATAATCAAGATAACCAATAAAAATGGAATCACAGACCATAACTCATGTCTCAAATCGAAAACACATACCACAACTGCTCCATCACCAAGGCTCAGGTAAAAAACACTTGAGTAGAAGTAGATAATCTTAATAATCAATCAAGAGCAAATAAACATGCGATGAAAATATAACATAAGATAACACAGATCTTCTTAAAAAATGTTCACAATGAACCTCATATTAACTCCAAGTTAATCAATAAAATGGCCAAACACGTGCAACAAATGCATAAATGATCCAACGAAAAATCTCACCACACTTATCCTATCACATTTCATGTAGCTCGTACATCGAGAACACATATCTCCTCTCATCGCTCACCATACTCACTAGACTGGTCACTAACTCATGTCCAACTGGTAAACCACTATAGATCCTAAATCTAATGGATAATCCTATATCACTACATTAGCTCTATCGACTTCAAGTGAATAATGGGTCTCCACCTAATAGAAGTGATAGCAGTGTCACTCTCACAGTTTACCTGATCAGGGTCTTACTAAATAGAGGATTCCAATATTTAATCACATCTCTACTCATGATGAAAATGTCACTCTTCACATCCCCTGTACATATCACCAATGTACTCTTACATATCACCAATGTACTCTTAGGCACCTATACTCTACATTACCAAAAGACATACTGCTTATGCATTCCAACCACCCGTGCAAAATCAACACCTATGGCGACCACAAAGGCTATGACTCAAATTAAATTGACGAAGAGAATAGAAGAGACAATTGGTTACTTCACTACACTTATAAAAGAGGTTACAAAGAGAAAGAAGATAACCAACACATAGCTACCCCATATAATCTAACAAACAACACAGGCTCACAAAGATAAAGGAGAAAATGACTACCCTTCTTTCTTCTCACTACCACATTTTCTCACACCACCAATCACATAGTAAAAGGAGTATGTCGTATATCTCAACCCACTATGCATGCAAATGCATTACAAAAAGTAATAAGATCCCGTCAAAAGTTTTATTAAAACTTTTTGTTTTGCCAAATTGAAAAATCTTTTTTCTCCATTAGAGAAATACAACTCAAAATGTGTTGTAATTTTATAAAAAAAAATGCACAAAACACAAAATGAAACCAACAATGATCACAAGCAAAGTAGAGACATAATTCACATAGAATATTCAAACAAATTTTCCTATGTTCATGTGCAATTCTAATGGTGAAGAAATAAGTTGACAACAAATTCACAAAAAATTCAAGACAAACAATTAACAAATAATTCATAGCTCTAGCAACAAACAATGATTATCTTATACAGTAAGCACAAACCTAATGTCACCCAACAAGATGATTTCTAATGCAAAAAGTAAATGGTCATTCTACACAATAATCTTAACTGCAATAATAAAAGGAAAGAGCACGATATCGAGCAGATTCACCACTTTAGGGCCACCACTATTCACCCTAAAGCCTCCAACAACTACGACAACATAAAACGGAACCTAGCACCTAAACGTGGGTGAAATCGTCACAGAAAACGAACACCACCGCAGGGTTAGCCATGCCACCAGCAACATTCTACCTTTTGGAACCATCACCAGAAAACCTATGATGCGTTGTTGTGCCTTCATCCTCTCTGTGCATGCCCTTCATGTGCCACCATGCCGAAGGCCCGATGCTGTCACGCACGTCACTGACCACTTCACCTAGCACCCCTGTGGTGTCGGTTTCTCCAACCGGCCATTGGTTTGGCCGAAAAACACAAACAAATTCGATGGCCTTGATTTTCTTTTGGACAGTTTCCATTCCAGCTTTCTATGGATTTTCAACCTCTATTTGACCACTTCGAGCTAGTTTTTCACCCAAAAAGTAATACATTTCTCATCAACATGTGCTCTGATACCATTTCTTGTGTGAATGCTTCAAGAAATCTTTTGCGATTTTTTCTTATTTTTTGTTGTTTTACTTCTTTCTTCTATTTTTTTGTTTGATGAAATAATTATTTATATGGCTGAAATGGAGGGAATAATGAGTTTTGTTTAGGATTGATCGTGTTAAAAAAAAAAGTTGATCATAGATTTGTTACGTTTCACAAAAATTGAGGACGAAAATCTGGCAAAATCGGTAAACAAACTAGAGAAAAAGAACAAATTTTTTAATTTAATTTTTTGGACCAATACTCAACTTCAAACTTTATTTAGATACTAATTTGTGCCAAAATCATAATGAATTTCTTGGGTGACGAATTTTTTCCAAATTATCTGATTAGTAACTATAATTTATTCTGTAAGTGTGTCATTTGATACTTAATTCAAATTATGTGAAGAATCTTTTCCAAATATAAAGACCAATAAGGTGAAAAGTCAAGTCTTAATTTTTTCGTTTATTTTTTGTTACAAGAAATCCAAACGTTTTTTTTTTCCAGCCGTCACTATGGATCGGAACTCATTGATTTAACTAGTAGGCAACAATAATTTCTCTTTTGTTTGTAGTTCATTCTTGCTAATTTTTCAGTGTAGTTAATTATTGGGTTTAATTAAAAGGCATGTATTCAAAACTCTTTGATGTATTTGATTTAAATATACGTATGGCAGTACAACTTATTCATCGAAGATTGTAAGGAATGACAATGTAGGAACAGCGACGTGCTTTTCTTTATAGCCTAGAAAAATATTGAGTGTCCCAATTCTAAAGTAGTTTCGATCTATCTATCTTTCTTTCTTGTTAAGTCTTAGTCGTCGTCCCAGTCCCGGACCGTACTCACTTTCCGGCCGGCAAATTCAGTGGCTGATTATCAGACGGAGACTATCATTTTGCTGTGATCTAATTAATATGGTAATTTTCTAGCCTGCCTCATATGATCTTTTGATGTATATATATTGCTATTTCAGACTATACTGAGTTAAATTAATGACTGATTATTTCATGTAAAAACGCATTTTGATCAAATTATATGTGTGGGGGTTTATGACTAATAGAAGGACAAATGCTGAT